TGAGAATCGATTCTAGAACATAAATGATTGGTATCGGAGGAATCGATATTTCAGGATCGATCCGCATGTCACTAGTGATCAGTGTGGGAAACTGTTTACAACAGATGCACAGTTACAACGACACATGTTTAGCCACTCTGAGGAGAGACCTTACAAAAGTGAACTGTGTGAGAAGACTTTTAAAGTTCCACATCACCTGAAAAAAACACCAACAGATCCACACCAGAAATTAACTCTACAAGTGCAGTTACTGTGAGGATGTATTGATTTTTTTTTTTTTCTTGTAATTTTAACCTGATTGTTTGGAACAAGTCTGATCAGTAAACTTATGGAGTTATACTGATTGGAATAATGAAGAGTCATTTTCGCTCGGTAAGCTGAGTGTTATAATGTAAACAGTAAAACGTAGTTGGACATTGGCAGAGATCACTTACGCTGTCATTGTTTAGAAGCAGAGCAACACAGATGGATCCAGTTCTCAACCCTGTCGTCACTGTGGTGCTGGGAAATGTTTCTCTGTGACCTTTGTGGAAAAACCTCCAATCATCAATGGGACCTTGAACCACGTCAACGTAGACACACTGGAGACAAAATGAACTACTGCAAAGAATGTGGGAGAGGCTTCCACACACCAAGTACATTAAAAATACATGAACTCTTCCACAGTGGGGTCAAAAAGCACATCCGTGACCAGTGTGGGTCATCCTTCACCACTGCACGTGAGCTTAACGAACAAGAATTAGCAAATCCACACAGGAGAGACACCATACAAGTGCAGACACTGTGACAAAAACTTCTCACAATCAGGTCACCGTAACAAACATGATTGTACACACATGGAAGCGAACTTCAGCTCTGACCAGTGTGACAAGAGCTTCAGGAATCTCAGTTCATACTCCAAACACAAACGATTCCATGCTGTAAATAAACTGCTTCACTGTTACCAATGTGCAAAAACATTCACTTCATTATCTGCTCTGTGCAAACATCAGCCTGATCATGCAGGACTGAAATCACTGGATCACAATGAATCTGAAGAGAGAGAAAGATCCTCTTCTGGCTTCAGGGTTGGACTTAAAAACCTTGAGATCAGGCTCCAGTTCAGATGGAATCTCCTGTAAAGAGTGTCAGCTGATGTCACATTTGGATCTGATGAGGTAGCTCTGATTTCTGGACCTGCAGTATATACAAATACAGGCCATTTATATCAAGTTTGTTTTTTCCTTTGAGGGATTTTAATTCTCTAAAATGTTATCCCTGTTACATTTTAATCTTTGTTCCCTTTGGACACAGTAGTGTTTAGTAGTTGTACATGTTACTGTATTATTAAAGTTTTTACCAAACTGATATTGTATCAAAATTACTGATATGGATATATATCAATTTCTTTCATTTGAACTTTCTTAGTTTTTCCAAAATTAACTTCTTTTTTTTAAAAATGTATTCATTTTAAAGAAATGTTAAACATTAAAAATGGCAGCACACATAAGGACCCTTTTGTTAATTCAAACATCTATTTTTGGCTCTTCCTTTCACTTTTGTGTATTTACTGTATCCTTGAAGTCCACATGTTGTTTTTTGAATGAATTCATTTTGATCCACATGTTCTGCAGCTGTTTTCTTGTTAATTTGAAGTTTGCTTTATAAAATCCTGATAATGTTAAAGCGTTAGTTGTATTTGATGAACTGTGTAAAGTTTGTCTTATTAAACAGTTTGGTGTGAAAAGTAAAGAAATGGTCTCAGAACAAGAAGTTTGAGCCCTGACTTCAGATTCAAACTAATTTAACTGTTTTCGGTGGTACATGTGGAGGTTTATCAGAGGAGGAGTGTCCGAAAGTCTCCTTATATTTCAATCGCATCGCTATAAGTGCAGTGTTAATTTCTGCCGATAAGTTCCACTTTGTTCTTACTGTTTGCTGCGGTGATGACGTCACATGCTTTTACGACGGTTCTGCCGTATCACGAGTCGGAGGAGCATTAGGCATGTTTTTCTCCATGAGTGCGGGAGAATAGCGATCTCCAGCCGTGTGCGTTCCTGTGCAAATGTGAGTCAAAATCCCTCCAGTTCTACGAGTTTATTTCCACTTATAGCACAGGTTGTACTTTGACGTTAATTACAGGGGGTTTATGCTAGGAGATTTATCAAGATTGGTAGAGGCATGTGACTTACCACCGTAGCACTTGTTGCGGGTTGGATCTGCACCGCAGTTGGGTTATTTAACCACTAGAGGGCACTGAAGCCCATATAATTGCTGACTTTTCCTACTTTGGGGGCATTAGGTCTTTTCTGTTGCCTGAGATATGCAGATATTCTTGTTTCCTGTCTGTTCAAATGGGATTGTGGGACTTTCTTATGTCAGAGCATTCAGCTGATTATTTGTGTTACAGTTCATTATATTGGCATGATGTTGGGAAGTGACGACTGTTATATTTATATGTGAAAATTGTTTCTCCTTGTTTCTTGTGATTCAGAACCACACGTCTGTCCACCCCTCCCACATTCGTTAAGTATGCCTACTGCTGTACTGTTGAGCTGCTGTTAACTTCCATTAAAGTATATCTGGACATCACTCTCTGTGCCCCACCCTCTGACCGGAGTTTAAGTCCTGAGGGAGCTAGCATCCCAGAGATAACTCTCTAACAAGTGGTCCTTCGAGCCGGATAGATAGCTCCACTGAGGACGACATGGAGTTTAAGCACCAGGATATCCCTGACATATCCGTGCGACGGAAAACTCTCCCGAGAGACATCTCCCGGCTTACTTTGATGATTATGAAGTTGAATATCAACCCAAATCAGGTACATCCACTGATAAACCAACAGCAGGTGCAGAGGCAGGGATGGCTATAGATCAGCGCTCTGCCAAGCAGCGCTCGACCTCTTCACGATCACATGCCTCAGGTTCTCAATGCAGCAAACCTAGATCCCAGGCTAGTGGACACTCACCTTCGGGAGGCTCTATCATCGCAGGGCTAACTGATTTACAGACAGCGATGTTGGAAGAGAAGATGAAGGGCATGGAGCTAGCAGAATTGCAGCGGCAGATGATGGAAGAGAGTCTAGCTG